CCCCCTTTTGAACACTTGCCGCCATGTCGCCTCGCCACTTGACAATCCCATTCCGAGTCTGATTCTATTTTCTTTTCTCTCTCTCTCTTTCTCTCTCTCTCTCTCACCTCGATCGGCCCGGCAACTGTCTGGCCTCACCCCGCGGTCTCTGCAAGGCACCGGAAACCGGGCCTCCGGAACTGTCATGACGACGGCAATTCCCTTCGCTGTGCTCCCAACGCCACACACACAGACACAGACACACACATAGAATATTATGAGTGAACAAAATATAGAGAGCAAGACAAGAGAGAGAGAGAGGATGAAATGATAGTTGTACAGACGTGTGGGACAAGATTAGCCCCCTCTCCCCGCTACACATACTCAGCTGAACTTGCACGTGCATGGCTTAGTGAGGTGTGAATGCACACGCACAAAATGATTACTCTACAGTGCGCTTAAGGCGAAACTTTGCAGCGGACATCTTTGACCAGTCGTAGCCACTGGCCCTAATCGCCTCTTGTCCATTGCTCTGTCATGTAATGCCTGGCAGACAGTTGCCGATGCCAAGGCAACCAGCGAGGTGATAGCCTCCGTCACGGATGCACTCGATGCGTGGAGTCGAGGGGTTGAGGGGTGGGGGGGCATGGGGTTGGTGAAGAGGCGTGAACGCCGAGGAGAGCAAAGGTTCATTGCAGACTCGGAGATGGCCGGCCTGGCGACGAGGCAAGATGGCCGCCAAGCGACGGGCGATGGGGCGGCGCGTCGGGCGAGAAACCGAGATGACCCACCAGCCCCGAACGCGGTTGAGCCGCAAAGCCGTAAATAACAGCTTGCCCGAATCAGACCCGCCCTCGACTTGGGCCGCAACCCCCGCCCAGTTACTCAACAGGTTGCCCAGCCACCATCACCCTCCCCCCCCCGCCACATACCGACGTGAGATTAGCCCCTTCACCAGATGCATCTGCTGGCCGACCTATCATTTTCTCGACCCGCGATCCCGCTGGCCGTGCACCAGCCTCAGCCTCGCTCCGTGTGTGTTTGTCTGTGTGTCTGTGTGTGTGTCTGTCTGTCACGTAGGGTTGAGCGTGTTGAACAGGCGCACATTGATTTGCGCATGCGAGGCTAGAGTAGGACACAGTATGATTGCTTGAGTTACTGGGTCGGTGTGAAATCTGTACGGGCTGTGATAATCTTTCCTCGTGCCCCCCTCCCCTTCATTACCCCCGGGCCACCGTCTCCGGCCTCGTAAAGGGCTAAGCGCCCATTTTTTCACCTTCACTTCACTCTTTTCACATGCCTCCATCCATACGCTCTATTCATCGTCTCTTCCGTCAGATCGTTATTGCCGTCTCTACCATATTCCTCCACGTCGCTTACTACTCTCAACTACTAACTACTCATCGGTGTAGGCATGTCTCGCAGGCCGCACACTCTTTCGCCCTCCTCTCCGTCAAGGTAGTGAGCATGTGAAGAACCCGAAAAGTAGATATTCACATAAAGTAGGCTTGCGACCATCTCTCCATGTTGACCGAGAGATCTATTCGACTTAAAAAACAAAACAAAAAATGACTGCGGTTTTCCGTAGTCAAAACGGCAATTTTCGTTTCTCCAGAAGGAATAGGCCCCGACGAGTTCGAGACGCTGTCGCTATCTTTTGGGAGGCAAGCTGAGAGAAGAGTCAACCACCAGCTCTTCATCTCCTTAAACGAAATAGTTTGAACACAGATCATAGATCTGATCTACCGGTAGTCTCGAAATCCTAGCTACAAATAGAAAATAACTATCTTAC